GTTTAAACAGGCATTTGAGTCTGAAGAGCAGGATCATTAGGCCAGCCTTTGCTGTTTTGTTTGATTTTATTGTTCATTTTATTACTGTGCTTTGTTCATTGTTTTTATTTTATGCTCCTGTACAGCACTTTGGTTTTTATTGTGCTTTATAAATAAACGATGATGATGATGATGATGATGATGATGATGATATTATTTGTGTCAAATAGGAGACATAATGTGTTCTTTTTTGTTTTTGATAATGTTTAATTATCACTACTTTTATAGGGTTCTGTATGTTGTATTCATGATTAAATGCAGCAAAAATAAACTAATTCAAAGGTAACAGATCTTTGTAATACTTGGTTTATTTACATGACTTTAATTGCTGGATGTTCGACCCCTGAGCTGTTGACCTGCTGTAACTGTGGCCCCCGGAGCAGTTTAGTTGAATAGCCCTGCTGTAAAGTGTGAGTGTGGGATGTTACCATCATCCTCTGCATACCTGTGTTCTCCTGGTCTGTTCTGCTTCTCCCTCCCGCTGATCTTGGCGGTTCTGACTCTGTCAGGCTGAGGAGGAGCCGCAGGCCTCAAGGCTGAAATGACCCGGCCCGGCAGCTGTAGCTGCACAGGCAGACAGGGCCGGCTCTGCTCCTGTACACCGGTCCCACATGTGCGGGAGCAGGACGACCAGGCACCCCAGGCACCCCAGGAGCCCCGCGTTTCTCCGTGCTCGGCTCTGAACTCCTGCCGAGGCTCTGCCCTCTCAGGAACCTGCACGCAGACCAAACAGCTTGGATTAGGGATGCTCCAAAGTGTGAAAATGTGGGACGGAGCCATCAGCCTGGAAGGCTTCCATCAGTAAGTGTTTAATCTCTGCAGATCGTCGTCTTGGAGAAAAGCTTAAGTCAGTGACCTCATCTCATCACCACAACTATCCTGCTCCTCCTCCCCTCTGCCTCTGTTCATGAAACAGACCTCTGTTTGCTGTAATAAAGTCCTGATTTGGCTGATTTGTCGTGTCTGGAAATGGCCTGTCCCCTGTGGGCTACCTGTTTTTCCTCACTGTTGACTCCGCTTCTCTGTGCGACGGTGCCAGGGACGCATTAGTGGCGATCACTGCGCTCTCTGTTTGAGGAACCTGCCAGCAGGAGCTCCGTGCCAAACTGCCATTCCGAGCGGAGCCGCGTGGAAATGCTGCATTTTGAGGAGCACTTTGTCTCCATTCACAGCAGCCTCTCCGGGCAAACACATGGCCGCAGTAAAAAAAAAAACCTCAGCTGCTGCTGACTTTTGGAGGACGGCAGAAGAATACAGAAGCTGCAGGGAGGGTTTGGCAGGGAGCTCCTCGGGTGTCAATCAGCCATTCATGGAGACCTCATCTCCCCACCCCCGCCCCTCGCCCCCACCACTACTGTCATCCCCGGGTCAGCGACAGGTCACGCAACTGGACTCCGAGTGGAAACACATGGAGCCGAGTCGCACCGTTCCTCCCTTAAACTGACAGGACCGTGGACCTGTCAGTCAGCTGCAAACGCCAGCGTCTTCCATGTGCTTCTCATTTCTGCAGGGTTCAGAAAGGGGAGAGCGCTGACTACTGASTTCCACCCTCTCTGCTTTGCTGAAACCATCTAGAGCAGTGTTTCCTAAAGTTGGGGTCAGGACCCAAAGTGGGGTCCCGAAACATCAAGGTGGGGTCCTGAAAAGATTTTAGGAATTAATTACATTTTTGCCTTAGTTGTTACAAAGGAGTGAGGTTAGTGTATTTAAAATGGGTAAATTTAGTATAAAAATATTGTTACTATGCCCATGTTTTGTTGACCTGATGTTTATCATCCAAAAATAGCTGGGGGCACAGGTCTCTGCTACTGTTATTTTGTGGGTCAAAAGCTGAAAAGTTTGGGAACCACTGCACTTTGGTTCCCAAAGTTGGGCTTGGGACCCAAATATGGGTCATGAAGCACCTTGGATAATCTCCAGAAATCAATTTAAAGGGTAATAAAATAATTGCTGATGTAATAGTTTTCCTATAACTATTAAAAAAACACAAAATAAGTATAAATAACTATTTATTTTTGTGTACAAACTGTTTAGATTGTCAGAAATTCTGTGTTTTTAGGGTTATTAACAAAGTTCGTGTACTCAGACCAGTAATATTTGGGGTCACAAGTTTTTGCCATGAATAGGTTGTGGGTCAGAAGATAAAAAGTTTGGGAACCACTGTATTAGAGTTCAAAGATGACCACCCCTGCCAGGGAGTGCTTCTATCTGCTGCTGAGAAGCTGACAAGACAAAAGTCACCATGCCATTGTTACCATCTAGGGTTGGGCAATGTTGGCAAAAAATTTATCTCAATTAATTGTGGTATTTAGCCGATAACGATTAATCCCCTGGAGTCCCTGGACCCCTGCATGCCCCAGTCACATGACCAATTTAAATCACTCTAGTGGGAAAGATTTGCTCTCCTAAAAATCTGTTCCAAATTGTGTCAAAAGAGTTCAGGTTATTCATCAGTTCTTAAATTGTGTTGATAGACCGAGTAAAACCAGAGTTATTATGTATAAATTTCTTTTATTTTTAAATGTTCGTCATATTTAAAGCAGAGAGTGGACTGACCGGGGAAATCTCCAGTCAGTCTGCCTGGCGGCATAAATCAGATTAAGTGCCAAAACATATTTGATTAAAGTTTTTTTCTGACAATTAATTGCACACGATATGATTTTGCCCAACCCTATTACTATTAGGTAATTACATAAGTCTGTGTGTTCATTAGTCTGTTTGCAAAACATCTGATGAACCACTGGATGAATTTGAAAGAAACTCTCAGAAAAAAAATCATTGGATCTCTACTGTATTTAAAACAAAATAAGTCAGCATCATTCAAGATGTAACTCACAGCTAATACACCTGAGGGAGAAAAAAGAGCGTAAGTTTTATACATTTAGAGCTTACATTTGATGTGGGAGTAGCTGAGAGTCATGCCCAACACAACCTCTGAGCAGTCGGAACAGACTGAGCTCACAACAGATTTGACCAAAAACGCTAAAACTCTTTTTATGTGTCGAGATAAGCAGGTAAAACTCTGGCTTTGAAAGATAACATGCCATGTGCATTCTTTGAAGGAACGCTGGTCCTTTAATTAGAGATGAGAGTTCCGCTCCACTGTGCCAGACACGCAACAAGACGGACAAAAAAAAAAAAAAAAGGAAAACATTCGGAAATGTTAGAGCAGTTCTGCCATGATGACAGAATGCTTTATCAAACTTTTATTTTTACTTTTTCTCTCAGGTAGCACTGCTCACCTTCCTGTGGTCTGCTGTGTGCCGGCTGTCAAGAAGGAGTGAGCAAAGCATCAGAAAAGACAATCTGGAGACAAAAGACAGAAGTCAATATTTACTATTACTCACAATTTTAATTAAACGTTATTAGGCTATAAACAGGAGGATCATATTTTGATGATGAATGTGCAGATGTGTACAGTCAGAATGAAGTGAACATAAAAAAAAACATAAAAATATTAATCTACCTGAGGATCCAGACACCCTGCATGGTCCTCACAGTTGAGCCCTGAGTGTAAACAAAGATGTTATTGGTTTGTGGTGACATTTTTAACCCTGCTGTCTGATAACTTACCTGTGTTTTAATAAAATGAACGCACAACAAAACATAGAATTAAAATGACAAAACACTGAGTGG